TGATTCTCTTCTTCTAAAATGTTTCTGGTATCAGAAGCACTAGATTTTAAGAATAACTCCAAGCCTAATCTTGGCAGTTGCATAGGAAACTGTCATCCAGCAAGTTTGATTTTTCTCAGGTTAAAAAAAATTAGGTTTTGTAAAACTCATTTGATTGTTGAAGTCTGTTTTCTGCTCCCTTCTCCCCTTATCATAACAGCTAAATGTAAAACTCTAAACACTGTTCTCAAAAAAAGCCCCAAAACTAAACAACAAACCCCAAACCGAAAACTCAACCAAAAACTACCCCTAAACAAAGATAAAACATTCTACACTCCACAACCAACTTTTAATCTTGGTAAAGCAGTCGGCTTTACCAAAGTAGAATTCCTGGGGAATAAAAGACAAAGAGAAAAAAATAAATTTCTTTTACAACTCAATTTAGAGAGTGCCTCTGACGACAAGTAATACTTTTGTGACAAATCATTGTCTGTGTGCCTTCTTTTGCTTTCAGTGGCTTAACATAAGCCATTGAAAGGTTCATTTCTCTAAAAGGAGGTTCTTGTCTAGTTGTGAACATACTTGATGCACTGTAAGTCAAGCTTGGTTTAAAGTGAAACTGAAAAATGAAAAAGAAGAATATAATCACCATTCCTCGAGCAAGATTTTGCACTGTGCAGTATGTAATATATAAAATCTTCCCTTAGAAGTTATGTGTGAAATTCTGCTTGTAACTGCAAGCTTTCTATCTCCCATATTCATAATAAGACTCCAGTCTTGTTAAAAACTGTTCAAAAATTGCAGAGGCAAAACCAAATTATTTCAAGTAAATTTGACGGAGAGCCTTAAAGAAATAAAACTTTTGTTAGTCTTGTGATTTTGAGTAGGTAAGCGAAAGTTCAAACTTGTAATTCCTGGATGGGAAAAAAAAGCATCATGAACTCAGTCACTTGATTTAATATCCAGGAATCCATATAACACTCAGACGTAGGGCAAAGCAATTTTTAGATGTAGAGCTACAGCTAACCAGTAGTAAGTTTTGTTTATGAAATTAATTGTTCAATAAATGTGTGCTGTGTCACTGAGTCAGTGGTTTAGCAGCCTGCTGTAGGAGGGTTGCCTTTTCGAGTTGCTGGATGGTAACCAGATGGCTGCCTGAATCCCATATGGTAGAACCTTGTGCTCTCTCTTAAACTGATGGCTGGTTTGGGCGGGCTTCAGGATTTCAGCTTTGTCTGCTTATGCATCCTTCAAGTTGTATCTGTCTTCTTCATAAAATTCAGAGCTCTCTAAACACTTTAGGTTCCATCTCTGACCATCAAAGACCTGTTTGTGGAATGTTTCTGAAACCGAATGCGGCCATACGGCTTAGTGCTTCAGCTGTTACATATCCCTGACATAGGAGGCAATCTAAAGTTAATTACTCCTCAGTTTAGACCTGAAGTGATCGTTTTGTGGGCTGGATTTTGCTCTCTAAAGTATATCATGTGGCACATTCCCTGCTGTTCTCTTTCCTAGAGGACTGCTAGATGTGTGTCCAGGCATGATGCCCATATATGAAAGCACACAATTTGGAGAGTTAACGGGAATAGTTACCACCTGGCATTTTTTGACTGCCGATGAACAGTTGTGTAAAATGAGGTGTGGCTCTATCAGACAAAAGATTCAGCACCTTTCTGCTTTGGAAGAAGAGGGGAACATTGAGACAGCCCACCCCATATTCTTCAGCACTTTCTCAGTTGCCTGAAGCTCCCCACCTGTTAATCCTGCATTTAGCAGTCAGTTTGTAGAGGACTGCATTTTCTTATCCCTGCTACTTTCTATCTATCTCAGGCCTTGGTTTGACTACAGGACATAAATACAAAATACACCAATTTTACCTGTATGCCAGAGCCTTTCCTGGCTCTCTTCCAGTATTCCAGCATATTGCAGAGGCTTCGGGCCTCTTGTGAATCATAATGCTCTCAAAATAGAGCTTATTTTCTTGAGTGGCAGTGTTACACATATGCTGCAACTACTAATATGTATTAGAAGTCGTAATATTACTTCTAATTCTGCAGTATCTGTTGGGAAAATGCACAGATTGTCCATGAGAGCTCATTTGAACAATTTTTTTAAAAAATATTCTTTACAAAAACATAGCAAATGCGTTTTTTGAAGAAAGACTTCATTGATTTTAAAATAATTTACACAACTTTCATATGCTTATAGGTATCTGCTCAATGTGTGGCAAGAAGGTCTTGGATACGAAGAACTACAAGCAAACTTCAGTCTAATTGTATTGAGTAGTCTTTTTATGAACTTTAACTTCTGTGTCCTTGTACAGTAACTTTTCCCTAAAATAATTTGTGAATATTGCTTTCTGGAAGATAATGCAGTTTCTTGGAATGAGATAAGAGGTAAAGACAGCCTGATTGTTTGCCCAAAAATGTACATAATATTTGATTCTTGTTTTAGCACTAATGTTAACTGATATTGAAAGCCAATGGTTTGCAGCAACTGATACAGCTCAAAGGGAATGAGAGGATCCTAGTGGATAGGTTGAAACTATGTTACCCTCATAACAGAGATTTTTGAGATTAACACTTTTATTCTTTTGGCTATCACAAGTCTTCTGCTTGTTTCATAGTTATATGTCATAGATGTATAAAATATGAGCTTGTATCACCTCGTTAAAATATCTTCATTTGGTTCTATGCCTATAAGTATTTATAATTACTCTCAGCTCAAACTGTTACATCCTTGCTCTTCAGATCTTAATGCAATTGTCCTGTTGAATTTTGTTTCTGCCTACAGTACAGTTGGTTAAATCACAAACTGTTAAACTACTGAAATCTACTGAGTTGCCTTCCTTATTCTTTCTTTGGCATTGTCATAGTTTAGCCCCAGGCAGCAACCAAGCCCACAGAGCCACTGTCTCCCTCACCAGCAGAGCTGGGGAGAGGGTTGGAAGGATAAAAGCTAGAAAACTCATGGTATAAGGACAGTTTATTAGGGAAAGCAAAAGCCACTCACACAAGCAAAGCAAAACAAGGAATTCATTCACCACTTCCCATGAGTAGGCAGGTGTTCAGCCATCTCCAGGAGAGCAGGACCCCATCACGTGAAACAGTTACTTGGGAAGACAAAACACCATCATTTCAAACATGCCCCACTTCCTCCTTCTTCCCCACACTTTACATACCGAGCATGATGTCATATGGAGCCCCTGGTGGTCAAGTGGTTAAGGCGTGGCACTTTCAACACCGAGACCCAGGTTCGATTCCCGGTCAGGGACACTCCCCGGGCAGATGGAGCTCGTTAGCCCTGTAAGGCAATCCATCTACGTCCTGAGGACCTCGCTGCCACCGTCCAAGCTCGCTTGGCCCTGGCAGATGAACCTCAGGATTAAAGGGTGGGCTCAGTTCCGCGCACACTGTGTCTCACCTAAAAAATCCAATGCGCAGGCTGGAAGGTGTAAAGACCTTCCCCGGTTCTTCATTCGCGAAGACTGGCCAT